GGAGGCACTGGGGTGCTGTAGATGTGCTTGGTGCTGCTTGTTCACACTGACTGAATCTTAAACCCTGCTGGCACCAGGGGCACCAGCAGCTCTGGGAGGACGTGGTGGTGCAAGGCTGCATGTCTGGGGCCTAAATCTCTCTGGTTAAAACATGGTGTCAAAGGATGAAACTTGGCTTATGGCCCCCCATTCTCATTAGCATCCCCATGAGAATCCTGGGACACCAGGGCCATGAAATGGTCCCTGAATGACACCAGGAGCAAAGACAAGGTAGAGCCCAAGACTGAATTCCCATCTCGTCAAAATTAGGGGAACTTGGCCAGGAACCTGGGAAGTTGCAGGATCACAGCCATGGCCTAACAAAAGTCCAATGCTTCTGTGCCTTGACTGCAGCCAAGGGCTGCAGCTGTAACTCCTCTTTCCTATCACCCCATCCCAGGTGGTCACAAGGCTGACAACACCTCCCCAGCTGAGCAATACAGACTTATCCCACCACAGCAGCTTAGCAAGACTTAAATAGAAAATTCAGGCTGATGATGCAGGGCAGGAGCAGGAGGAAGAGATAAAGTTCAACTGGTGATAGCCACATAGTAAAAAATGATAACAGGGCTGGTGGCAACAGCCCAACAAGCTCCAGATGGTCCAGCATCGAGAAGCGGAGCCCAGTGAAATGCCAGACCATCAATATAAAAACATCAAGTCATTGTAAGGAAATAGTGAAAGGCACAGAGTCACCTGGTGGTAAATCCCTCAAAAGTTCCCTCTGGAAGCAAACAAGAGGTACAATCTGTACAGAAATTAAAAAAAAAAAAAAAAAGATTAACATTGGTATCGTAAAGAAATGGGAAAAAAACAAAAGAGGCTCTAGATACGGATTATTTGATCAGCTGGTTTTTAGGATAATGGGTTAATGAAATGTCTGGGCAAGCAATGAGTGTACACAGGAGATCAGATGGTTTGGAAACATTCGCACATTTCAGAAACTGCCTGTCCAGAAAGTGAATTGTACAGAGAGCCACAATTAAATCGAGGAACAGGTCGATCATTTGCACTTCAGGTTTATTACCAAATCCAGGGGGAAATTATTCTTTTCATTCACCACTAAGCATCTTTGTTCGTGCTTTAGCGGTCTCACAGGGAGTTTTCACAGGTTGCTCATTCAAACCCTTATGCTGAGGAACTGACAGCGGGTGAAAAAATTCAGAAGGAAAATTAGGGAGAACTGCAGCCCACCACCAGCTCCTCCTGAGAACAGGGGATGGGCAGATGCAGCCCTCCTGTGGAGACCCTGACAGGACTGCAAAGGGGTGTGGAAGACCATATTGGTGGTGATATTTATCAGGAATTGCATTACAAGGATATAACCCAGGTCATCGAAGTCACCCCCGAGGGACAAGGGTCTCATAGCTTGGAGCTCCACAAGGACAGGTGAAGATTTAGGCACAGCAACACTGCTGCTCACCTGAGGTCAACACTGTCTGCACAATCAGACCACATCTTTTCTTCCCTGCCAGCTGGGTCTCACCTTTCCCAAAGCTGTCACTGGTGATATGGACACCATCACCATATAGACCACAGTTCTACTGTCCCCTTGTACAGGTTGGTACTCAAATGGTGATAACAGTCTCACCTGATGAATTAACCAGCAGCTCCAGCGATGGAGGAGTCTGTCAAACCACAGCGTGCCTGCAAAACACTTTTGCTCTCCCCTGGACTTGCCATGAGATATCACAACCCCCAAAGGACCGAGGTGGGTCACCAAGGGGAGCTGGAGGAGCTGTTCCCACAAGAAAGGGAAGGTGAGAGGCAGGGACAGGGAGAAATGCCAGCTAGATAAAGCTGTGTGTTCCAGCTGCTGTGGGAACACAAGACCCAAAATGAGAAGGGAATGGCACAAAGAAATACTGACTGACAGCGCTTTAGGTACGGCTGAATGGTATCTGCATGTTGTCACCTGCTCCAAAGACTGCCTGACTCACCCATCAGAGGCAGGCATCCAGCAGCCCAGCAATTATTGCTGCCCTCCTCCAGAAAGCCAAGGGGAAAATTAAAACCAGCACAGCGCCGAGGGAACTGTCCCCCACGGAGCCTGAATCAAATCTTGCTTTAGAAACAGCCCTTAAAAAGAGACAGAAATGAACCTCTCGGCTCAGCCCCATGCGAAGGACACAGCATTCTGTGCCTCCTGCTTGGCTCAGTCAAGGGCCATAAATACCACCAGCCTTCCCGCAGGGATCTGCTCAGCGGAACCTGGGCTCCCCCAGGCTCCTTCGCACATTCCAGCATCCGCTCCCAAAACAGGATCTATTCCTGACAGCAGGAACAAAGTGAGCGATTGCATCTGCTATATTTAGAGCAAACAGTCAACACTCCGCGTTTAAATGGTTACTAGCATTCTCATTAGATGTATAAATAGCCTCTGTTTGCTTTTCAAAAGAAATTGGTTTAAAAGATAAAATTGCCTTGCCAGGCCTTCTCAGCCTATAACTGTTGAGCAGGGGGGCCTATTTCAAATGAAAAATTAAATTATGCGTTTTCTCTAAACCAAACCAGGAATAAAAGCTCACGACTGGGGCTGGTATTATCAGTGCTGCCATGCTTTATGTAGACACAGGGGTTTAAACAGTGGCAGCAGTTTAAACTGCAGCAAACTCAGGCTGTTTGGTGCAGAGGGGCATCACCATCCCTCTCCCAGCCTTGACCACTCACCATCCCAACCTCCCTCTTCCACCCCCACATCAGTCTTGACAGAGCCACACTTCTTCATAGAATCACAGAATGATTTGGGTTGAAAGAGACCTTAAAGTCCATCTCGTTCCAACACCTTGGCATGGGCAGGGACACCTTCCACTAGACCAGGTTGCTCTGCTTCCTCCCTTGGGCAGAAAGCCTGGTCCCAAGTAAGCATCCATCCTTAAGGCATCACAAGGACCACATCCCTGTCATCCAGCCCACATTGCATTAAAATCAAACTAAGGACACCAGCTAACGAAAAACCATGGCAGAAATGTGGGCTGTAAGAGACCAAAATGCTGCTGTGGGTATTAACACAGAATAGTGCAATTTTCCCCTAGGATTTGGTTCCAAAGGCAGGGAAGTATACAGCCTTGGGACACCTATCTGAGTGTTCTGAGGAGTTGTTAGCCATGGGCAGGGCGGCACTGGGTGGTTTGTGGGCCCCCTGGATAGTTCCTGTGATCCCTGGATTGTTGCTGGGACACCTCGATAGTTCCTGGGATCCCTGGGTAGTTCCTGGGACCCCTCCTCCTTGCCCTGCCCTCGGGGTGTGGGACCCCCACGCTCTCTCCCTCCTCCCATCTCCTACTCCTGTGTGAGGTTTGGATGGGAGGTGGGATTACTGGGGAGGGGGCACAGGAGGGGATCACTGTGAGAAGTGCAGGGGGGATCACTGGGTGGGTGCAGGGGGGATCCTTGGGGGTGCACAGGGGCCATGGCTGGGGGAGCACAGGAGGGAATAACTGGCAGTACGGGGGAGATCCTTGGAGGTCGCAGGGGGGGATCACTTTGGGGGGCACAGGCGGGAATTGCTGGAGGGGGTGTGGGGGAGATCCTTGGGGGCTGCACAGGGGATCACTGTGAGGTGCAGGGGGGATCACTTGGGATGCAGGGGGGATCACTGTGGGGTGCAGGGGGGATCACAGTGGAGTGCAGGGGGCATCACTTGGGATGCAGGGGGGATCACCTGGCGTGCAGGGGGATCACTGTGGGGTGCAGGGGAGATCACTTGAGATGCAGGGGGATCACTTGGGTTGCAGGGGAGATCCTTGGGAGCCGCACGGTGGATCACTGTGGGGTGCAGGGGGGATCACTGTGAGGTGCAGGGG